CTTTTTTTCATAGATATTTTTCTTTGTATGACCCTCATACTTTGTGTATGAAGAGAATGAATATTTTCATTTCTTCCAATTCCTTGAGGATTATGAACACAAAAGAAGTGAATTTCTCAAATTTAATGGAATGTAAACACATGGGTAAATTGGTGTGTGCGATTTAATATGTCATTATATATTTTTTTCTTATATTTATTTCCGGATAAATATTTTGAGAATATTATTTTCACAGATTATATTCTGGAAATATGTATTTAGTCACATTGGCAAAAATAATAATAACAACAAAAAAACAGTTATATTTTCCAAATTCTAATATTCTAATTTGAATTTTAAAATTGGAATATTTAAAAGTATATTCTCTATGAATTATTAAAATGTTCTATGAATATTATTTTTATTATATTTGACCTGCGACTCACAAAATATAACTATTCGTGACTTTGCTTAGTACAATGTAGTCCTATCTGATAGGTATATCAAAATTACATTTAGCATCGTAAGCAGGTCAAGCTAGGGCCGTTATTATGCACGAAACTGCTGAATATCTTCCTAGAGAAATGTTTTCTTAGCTCAATAGTACATAATGTTATACGTCGGTTTTTTATTGAAATTGTTCAAGTGCCAGCTAGTATCAACGAAATCGAAGAAGCCTATGAGAACAACTCGAACTACTGCATCGAAATTGAAGACTTCTGTTAATCTTATTTTCACAAGAGATTTCAATCTTGTATCCGGTAACAGCACAATGCAATAGCACAGCGGTATGGTAGATTAAACTGGCGAAACCGCTGGGAGGGTTCACCACTGATGAGCCAGGCTCTCCAATTAATATATCATTGCAATACGAGCAGTAGAAAATTGTTTTATTTCAAAAAGAAATCACATACGCGTCAATAAGAGTTTAAATTTCTTATAAATCCTTTCCTAGGATGTTATGAAACCGAAGTCGCCATTGTACTGATGAGGGCCAAATCCCGAAACCATGTTATACAGATTAACCTTTTATCCGAAATTTTCTAAATTGGTGTTTTAGCTCATTCTTTATCATTGCTATTCCGTTTGTGTTGGAATGATAACCAAAGGCATTGTTTTATTGTATTTTCAATCAGGGAATCCACCTGTTACTTCTATTTATAAAACGACATTTGAAAATCATCCCGCGTGTGTTTCATTTATATGAAAAATTGAAAATTACTTCAAAGGAGAAATAACGATTATTTCTAACCTTTAGAGATGAGGTATGAAAGGATGAATTGTGAATTTATATACTACGTTTTAAAGTATAAATTATGGTAGATACATATGTTCTGGGTTATCACTGGACTTTTTTATACTTAATTCGTTGATAGATAAGACTTTGGAAACAGACAATCTTCGTTTACAACTGGTAATGGAGGTTTGTATAGGTATCAGAACAATATGACGTACTTCATCTGTAGACCAAGTGAAGGAAGAAATCAATACAACACCAAGTCTTACCATCATTCCCCCCCCCCCCCCCCGAAGTTGATCCACTTTGCCGTATTGGGGGGGCCCGAGTCCGACTTCCAAGTCGTTCCGCCAAGAGATCAACACCATAGAGGTCCGTACGTCTCTTGACCTCACGGACAGTACAGCAGCTGCCCTGAACTGGCTGAAGGCCTTGCCTCTCAGACTTTAATGACCGATATGTCCTCACTTCTTTTTTCTAGATTTAATTCATTTTGTCTCCTCTCTAATTGTAAATACGCTGCTGTATCACCTCATAAGCATAAATAAATAACCATCATTTGAAACCTATGGCTATGGATTGATTGTCTTGAAGGATTCATATTGAATAGGTATAACAGTCTTAGAGTTCATATACTTAGAATAATAAGATGAAGATTTCTATGTTACGCCTTAATTTTCATAGTTATTTATTATCCAAGTCTAGTTACACCACATTACTCTTTATTTCTTTAGCTAAATAGGACCATAATCAGACAAGGCTCCTTTAAAGACACGTTAATAAATATATTGCCACGTGGAAAATTGGGATAAGACAGCAATTTTATTTCAGGCAAGAACAAACTATGAATGATAAACAAAAGATAAGCCACGAAGAAAATTTACAGAGTAGCAAAATATAAACATAAAAATGACCACTCTATTAATAAAAATAATAAAATTAATAAGTACTTTGTTACAATATATTTAATATTTATGAGAGAAAGAGAATTTACTATTTTCTCTCAATGTAAAAATTGAGATTGAACGGCCCTATGGGTTCAAAATCAGATTCTACGAACTCGGTAAGTTATTTTGGCTCTAAACTTTGCCTTTTCCTATAGTACAACTTTCCGTGTTATCTCACGGTGTTGGAATACGTTACGTTGAACTGCTAATATTGTAGAAAGACGCTTTCGTAGATGACCGGTGGTTAGATCTTTTCCGCACAGTCACTTTTATAAATATATGTAAATATGACATTGTCACGTGTCGAGTTGTTCAGTAGTGGAGTGGAAACAACGAGAAGAGAAAGTTTCAGAGTGAGAACTTCACCATCGTTAAGAGAGATGAACACCACTTTATTTCAAAGGTTATATAGGGTAAATAAAAAATAAATGAATAAATTGAACTTTTCGAAAACAAAGCTGTGGCTTTGTAAAGCCAGTAGAAGGACATCTGAAAGCTTGCGAATAAAATTCTTATAAGACACTTCTCTTCAATCGTTGTTATATTTTGGTACAAAATAAATGAATAAATTTGAAAATAGAGAGATTGAGATTGAAACTACTTTATTTCAATGTCCATATAAGATTATATAAGGTTAAATACAGAATAAATATAAATATGAATACATATGATTATATAATGATAAATATAGGAATAAATAGATATATATATAGATAAAAAAAATAATTGATAAATATACATATATATAAAAATATCGTACAAGTCGTCATTGTTGGTGCCCACCGCGAGAAAGACTCCGCCACCGATGGACTGCGAGAGTTCTTTCCCACAGAGTGGGCAGGTCGATGTGATGGCTGGCGTTACCCAACTCAAGACCAAGATGGTACTTGTAAATGGTAGCCTTCGCCACACTTGTGATATTTATTGCCTCGGGATGGAGGCCGACGCCGAACAGCCAGGCCTGCAGAGAGAGAGAGAATTAAATACCCCCAGAGATTTGAAGTGGCAAGAAAGGCTATGGCACAAAAAAAGACGTGTTGACACGACCCGAGAAATGAGATTGTACAGTGCAACGGCCTCTCTCTGATACCTAAACACATCTGTCTTTAACAAACTCCAGGTTCTTCTTATAGCTGGAGTGTTATCCCTCCCGGATTCAAAGGTCAGACCTTTGCAGCTATGTAAATTGATATGGCGCATGGCTATCACGCCTATTTATGATATCATCAATCTTTCTTCAACTTTAATGTTTCCATAGTTACAATAATGGGGATGATGTGTTTGAATTGAATAGGTAATTAATCTTCGTGTAAGTATCATAGTAATATTTGAAATTTTCCAATTTGCAGTATTTTTATGCACTTTTAAAAGTTTTTTGTTGAATTTTTTTCGAAGAATAAAAAGTATTTGAAAATATTTCAGGTCTTGATTGTTATTCTTTGAATGCCTTTTTAGATAGCAATATAAAACAAAAGACAATATGATCTCTGATGTGTGTAGGGGGGTAGAGAACTAGATGGATTCTGCCATATGAACAATGCCGACTTGCGCTCACGGCAGTGGATAACGTGAAGACTGTGTCTGGTCAAACTGTCTCTGAGGGATCAATTTTATCTACTTATATAATTGCCTTATTCTGTCTGTGTGAAGTTCACGGATAGATTTTGGTCAGAATGGATAAAATAAAAAAAGTGTCAAGGGATGGGAATCGAACCCACGACCTTCCGCTTACCGGGCAGATGCCATGACCACTAGGCTACCTAGGACAACGATAGGTTATTTTAAATTATATTTAAATTAAATATTAAAACTATATATTCAAATTATTCTACTTAGCTCACGAACAGCACCCTCTATCAAGGTTATAAATACGTTTAAAATCGAAATCTTTTCAAAATTTTATTAATAATAGTTCGCTTACTAATTAGAATACTTGATCTAAATCGAAATATTTATAGACGCTCGCTCGATTTGAAGATTTATTTCGTAACTAATCTGACTGTAAAGTTTGGAGCGCGACGTTTCACAAGAGTGACATCCACGGCGCCAATTTATAATTGAAACGAATAGTGTTTGAATAAAACATTTAATCGGGTAAACCCGGGCGTTGCCCGGGTCATTCGTCTAGTTGGTTTATATTTGATGTGACACTAGAAGTGGTTGACCCCAGACAAGACTGACGAGTTCTAAATAGAATGTTGTTAGATTACTATCTCACTTTGTCATGTAATATCATATCTATATCATGGTATTATTCATGTATATTTACTTTTCCCCATATTTATATTGAATTATGTATAATCATATATATATATAGATGGAAATTTTGCCGGGAGGATATTGATCTAAAGAGACAAGGGTCGCCTCTCCCGTCAAAATAGACGTCGAAACTAGACGCCATCTATTAGATCTATTAGATGGCGTCTAGTTTTGACGTCTATTTTGACGGGAGAGGCGACCCTTATCTCTTTAAATCATATATATAAGAGGTTATATTAAAGCGGTTTCAATCATAATTTCTCTCACAACGATAACTTAGAATTATTTTTGAAACTTACCAATAGTGAGAGAGATCGAGAAAAAATATATATACAGTATAACCTCCCTGTAAAGAACACCCAGTTGCAGAGCCAAAGTGTCCTTTAGGGAGAGGTGTTCTCTTACCAGAGAGTTGCTAAATAGTAAAAATTGTATTTTTGGTGATAAAAACTGTCCTCTTTAGAGAGGTGTCCTCTCACGTGAGTGTTCTCTCATGGAGGTTCTACTGTATTTAAATAGAAAGTTAAAATATATAATGAATATAATTGATAAAATGACATTTGAAAATTATCCCGCCTGTCCAGGGTAGCCTAGTGGACAAGGCATCTGCCCGGTATGCGGAACACAATGTGATCGATTCCCATCCCTTGACACTTTTATTTTTCCGTTTATCATTACTCTTCACAATTCACCCTTTCATACTTCATCCCTAAGGTTAGAAATAATCGTTATTTCTCCTTAAAATAAATTTAGATTTTTCATTCAAAAGAAACACACGCGGGATAGTTTTCAAATGTCGTTTTACAAACACAAGCTCTATTGTATTTTATCATAATTGATAACCATCACAGAGTTGTCATAATAACAAGATCATTTAACTCTGATCAGAATATTCAAGGTTCGATTCCTACCCTTTCTTCAATAATTTCGTTATTACTAAGTTCCTTCAACCTTTTTTAGATACTTTATTACGACCCTTCGTCTACCTACTGTTGCTCTTTTCGAAAAAAATATATTTAATCCATTTAAAAAGAACGACAAGGGGGTCAACGAAATATCAAAAATTCTTTTAAAAGTCCAATCCTACCAGCGAATGCAAGTGAACTAACGGGGCTCTGGCATATTTGTAAGTGCAAAATTCGAACTCCTTTAACGTGTGTAGACATGTGTTGCACTTACAGTAAAAGCAGTCGCCAACTTCTACTCATCATGAATATCATGGCCTGTACTACGTGTACTAGGGATAATAAAATAATAATTATCCTAAAGATAGAGGCTGCCTGGCCGGCATTCATATTTCTTGAAAATAAAGATACTTCGGTCAGTAAATCTTTTTATTATCTCGACGTTTCGACCAAAATCTTTTGTCCTCGTCAGGAGCAAACAAAAATTAAACATTTAGCAAGGCGTTAAAAATCTTTCTCTCTGTTTTTGTTTGCTCCTGACGAAGACAAAAGATTTTTGTCGAAACGTCGAGATAATAAAAAGATTTACTGACCGAAGTATCTTTATTTTCAAGGAAAATATAATTATTATTCAATATATATTCAATAAATAAAAATAATAATCTTCACGATAATCAAAAAATATAATATTAGAAGAGTTAAAGTAACTTATTCCGAACTTAATTATAAACCCAACTTGCACTAAATGTGTTTTTACCATTTCTTCAATTGTTGTATACCTTATCTCCTGTAAGACATTTTGGTGACAAAGTGACACCAGTAAGAATAGAGCCACACGACGCGAGCGAACAAGAAAAGCGAAAGTTTCGCGGCCTGAGTCAGACGGAAGTGGAGGGGCCACTAGGTCAATGATAGCGTGTCCAAATTGGATTAATTTAGGCGAGTCTGGCGACCTTGGGTCTTTCCTCCATATAACTCTCTCTCTCTGTGTGTGAGACATGTTCTCGGGTAGTTGGTGTTTTACACTCCAGGATCTCCTGGGTTATATATGTTACAGTGGACCCTCGGTTTACGAGCACCTTGGAGTACGAGCTTTTCGCAGTACGAGCAAAATTATTTGAAAAATTTTACCTCGGATTACGAGTGAAATTTCGCATTACGAGCAACTCATGATGGTTGCCCGTAATCGTGATGGATGAAAATTCACTGGGATCCCTCCCTTCAGATCAGATTCGGGAAATATGTAAAATGTGGGAAACTGTGCAATTGTTCGTAGCAAGAAGAATTGCCCGAGTTTCAATTATTAAAAATAAGAAATTAGTTTCGCACTACGAGCGTTTTGGAGTACGAGCATGGCTCTGGAACGGATTATGCTCGCAAACCGAGGGTCCACTGTATATTAAAATATAATATAATTCGGCTTCTTATTGTAAAACGACATTTTGAATACTATCCCGCATGTGTTTCTTTTCAATTTTTTGAATTTTCGTTGAAAAGAAACACATGCGGGATAGTATTTCAAATGACGTTTTACAATCATAAGCCGCATTATATTGTATTATAAATTACTTTATGTTTTATTTACGAACGTAAAAATATGTCCAGGGTAGCCTAGTGGACATAGCATCTGCCCGGTAAGCGGAACACTGTGGGTTCGATTCCCATCCCTGGACACTTTTATTTTTCCGTTTATCATTACTCTTCACAATTCATCCTTTCATACCTCATGCCTAAGGCATTTTCGTTGAAAAGAAACACAAGCGGGATAGTATTTCAAATGTCATATTAAAATATTATTTTATTTAAAATTATATTTCATATATACAAATACTGTTAAATCGACCGCCAGAGGTCACGCTTCCCTTATAAAAACTTTTTTTGTTGTTGTTTCCCGATGGCCGGCTCAAATCTTTTGTACATTTTGTGCACCATAATAAAGTACTTTTATCAAATTATGTTTTTATATATCCCATAAGATCAATTAAAGTTATTTCTAATATTCATTATTTTTATTATTATATTTTCAAGATTTTGACCACGACTGCATTGGCATAGCTTAATCCTCAAAAATAATCAAAATCAGCAGAAATATAATTTCTTTATATAACATATATATATGAAAAAACAATAGAAAAAATAAAAGATAAATGGGTCAGGTGTTGATATTAAAATAAAGAAGGCATTTCCTGACCACGAGCACATGTGCTTTTCAAATGGCAGAGCGCCAACAGCGCGAAACGCGTTCGTGGATGGCTTTTCTTGATTTATCAAGAAATTGGGTTGGCCAAATATCACGGAGCAAGCTGAATAAACGTTTAGTTTATTTTTGCTCCACTAGATGGCGCTCTGCCATCTAAAAAGCACATGTGCTCGTGGTCAGGAGATGCCTTCTTTATTTTTAATATATATATATATGTGATAATTTGTATATAGCAATATGTAATCCCACTACAATCTATGCAATGTATCGTCAAAAGATTTAATAAAAGTTAAGCTTCGCGAAAAAGGGAACAACCATTAACAGGATTGCATCATCTAGGAAGTAAAAGTCACTGCCCAGGACCCATAAAACTAAAGTTCAAAGACCTTCTTCTTCCTGGAAGATTGCAATCATGGCGACAATGGAGGTGCTAAGCCAATCACAGTTAAGTATGACCAACTAATAGCGAACCAAAAGCAGGCACGTAGAACGATCTCGACCAATGAGAAGCCGAGATATTTAATGACGATTATCTCGGACAAGAAGCTAGGGAGAAGGTAGGTGACCGGGCTAGAAGCAAGGTGTGCTCAACTTAGGCTCCGACCAAGGTAAAAATCCTCTCGATCTTGTGAAAGGCAAAGGTACCTCCTCCACCTCTCAATCACTCTCTCCCTTTCGCGAAGTCCAGGTTCTATCCCATCCAGGTGCTCGTTATTTCCCCTGTGGAAACCCACCATTCGACCAAGACTGCGCCATCAATCATCAATTCAACATAATCCGACATAGGATTCACCACAATTCACCAATCCCACAGTAAGTTGACAGGAGTCAACAGGATCTTACACAGGTAACAACAGGACCCTACATATATATATCTGTGAGATTGTAGCATCTTTCCCGTAAAAAAGAATTCTGAATTCTATACTCGAATATTATTTTTTATCTGCACGATGGGGGCTCGATTAAAATTTATTATTATTTTATTATATCTCTAAAGAAGTTGGCCCTCGTCAGCGTGGTGCAGACTGTAACTCTACGATCAAATATAAGGTCCCAGAGGCTTCCAGAGGAATCAAGAAATTAGTATTTAAAAGCGTGTTTAGGTAAACTTGACCTTAAATACCCATTTATTGATTTCTTAGGAAGCCTCTGGGACTAAATATTTGGTCGTAGAAGTACAGTCTACACCACGCTGACGAGGGCCAACAGCCCGAAACGCGTTTGTGGTTGACATTTCATGATTTGTCAAAAAATAGGGTTAGCCAAATATCACTGAATAAGTTAAATAAACGTTTAGTTTTTTTTTCGTTCCACTAAATGGCGCTCTGCCATCTACAAATGCTCATATGCTCCTGGTCAGGATATGCCTTCATATATTATTCTATGTGAAAAAACAATATAAAAAAATAAAAAGGTCAGGTGTTGTGTGTGATAACAAAATAAATAAGTCATATCCAGACCAGAAGCACATGTGCTTTTCAGAAGGCAGAGCGCCATCTGGTGGAACAGAAATCAACTAAACATTGATTTAGTCTGTTCCCTGATATATTTTTTAATATTATTCTATATATATATATATGGGCTAATAAAACTAACCAAATTATAAACCCTCTCTCTACACTATATAGTAAAAAGATATCAATGAGATAAAAAAAGTGGGTAGAGCCATTTGATGTGAATAAGCAGATAGGGACAAACATTAACACAAATCGACTCTAACCGCAGCTAACTAGTAAAAAAAAAAAAGGTGTATTTCCGTTTCCGGTTTACTAGTTAGCCCCCAAACAGAGATCTTCCATTAGTGCCGAGTGCCTTTTTTATAAATGTACTATTAAATGCAGACGACATTTTTGTTACCTCGTTTTGTTATTTTACTTAGTTAATTTATATATTTAAAAAAAAAACAAGATATTTATAAATTGTATACGACAATTTAATTATTTTGTTCATTAGAGTATACATGTGTGTGCATTAATAAAAAAATAATAATTAAAATGTACATAAGAAATATCTGCAAAAATTTAGGAAAGAATTAAAGAAGTGTAAATTAACACGTGTACAATCTTGTTAACTTACTTATGTACCCTCCCCACATTTTTTTAAATGACATTCGAAAAAAAAAAGTTTTTTTTTGTCATATTTCAATTTATTAATATGTTGTTGTAAATACTTTAGTCTGGATCTTACTAATATCATTATACACATATATTTACAAATTCATATGTATTTATATATTTAAATATATATATATATATATATATATATATATATATTATACATAATAGATACGAAAAATATAATGCCTCGATAAAGGTTGGCGTTCAGCCAGCCGAAATATTGGTAAATAAATATTTTATTCAATCCAATATATGTATTTTTACTATCTAATACATTTATATATATTCATGTCACATATTTATACATTAAAATATTCAAATATATATATATATATTGAGGATAATAACGCACGACATTGGTTAAAAAATGACCAATAACGAGACGTATTTTGGAGATTTATTTGAATATATTGTCGCGATATCAATTTAGA